AGCACAACATTTTAAATTGCAATGAACTATGAACAAAAAGACAACAGAAGAGGCAACACAAGGTTCCAGTGTAAACATAGAGCATTGTAAAAATTCCCTTTTAAATCTTGACTACATTACAAAGTTAAAAATAACTTGTATGCAACAATTATGCAATTGCATGAGTAAACATATTTCAGGCAATGTAGTTGAGGTATCACATAAAGTTACAAGACTATTTTCAGGGAGTCATCTCTGAAATGCTTGTTCTTTTTCATGTTACTTCTAAAAATACAAAGCAACCACCTGTAAACCAACAGAACAACAAAATTGCTAAGAGCAAAAGCTCCCGCCATTTGCGCCATTAATTTTAAGTGAAGATAAAAAACCATCCATATTTGTCCATCAAAGAATTAGAAGATAGGATGCATGGAGATATATTGTATACCTAGTGATGGAGGTTTTGAGCTAAAGTGAATTGATCCCAATGCTGAAGATTCAGAAAATGAAAGAAGTATCATGCGCCCATCGGGATCCCACGTTGCTCCCTATCGTCAACAATAAGAGAAAATTAGATCATACCTCCATGAAGAAATTGTCCAATAAAAAGCATAAAAGAATTTTTAAGACTAACAAACAGAAGAGAATAAATACAGAAGGCACAATTCTACAAAGGAAATTACACCAAAATATCAGATGCTAGGAGTTCCTACAGAAAAGCTACTCTGATTCTTATAAGTTATATGTCTCATAACAAATTTTCGCCTCATTGGTCTAGCGGACTAGCACAATAAGAAAATGTCAAGAATACTAAAACATATAAAGCCTATAGCTACATCCATGAACAAATGTAAATGTAGTCCTTATAGAAGAAATTCCAAATTCCTTATAATCATAAAATTCAAACAAAAAACAATTAAGAAACTCATTCCCAATAGCACATTATTATTAAAGAGCTACAAGATACAGTCAACATGCAACATATACATAGCAAGTGTATCGTAGTTCTCAAAACAAAAGGCCAAAGTCATAAAAGTTTCATCCTAGACAATCTTGGAATTTTTCGTTTATCAAATCAAATTTTAAACCCAGCGACATTTCCCCAGAGATATAGGACAACCCCAGGGTCTACTTGACATATGAAGAAAAATTAAAGAGAGTGCTATGCATTTGACTTCAACTGACCGATAACCCAACAAAAGACAAAAGGGAAACCGCATGAGAATAATAATGCAAATTTATTATGAACATATAAAATGATTGACAAGCATAGAAGGTGACAATATATAGTTCCTAAAAGCAAATTGTTCACGGACCGTGACAACTCCGTTTTTCGAGGACCATGGTTCTGATGTCCATGTATTTGTCTCCCAGAGATAAAATGTCCCATCACTGCATTGAAACATAACATCCTGAATGTTAACTTATGGTTAACAGAACCTGAATTGTTGAAGGTCTCAACATGCATATTAAACTCAGCAATATCTTGTAAAATACAGTACAATTTTGCAGCAAAGAAATAATCTCCAGAGGGAGACCACTTCAACAAAGATATGCCCCCTAAGCCCCTTCGAATAGGAGTTCCCAACCCTGAAATAAAAAATACAAGGTTGAATATCAAGATAAGAGTGGACAGTGATAATAATACATTAAAAAATTAGTTGATAGAATATTCAAGATCTTAAAAGCTAAAGCATGAGTGCGGGAGATCATGACATGCTTACTCTACACAAGAGTCGAGACTTGCTAATGCAACGAAATAATATTCTGATCAAGATAAATCAATCATTTGTGCCCCCAATGTGGAGAGGGGTCATAAAGACAGTTATAACGTAGTATCAACTATCCAGTTAATTTAGTGCTTGTCAACATATGCTGCACCACTAAAGTATCTTCAATAGCAAGGCTTCAACAACCTTTTGTACTGCTAACCACCACTTAATATTCTTTCCCCGATAATTGTTAATCAACTTCCAGTTTTGCAAGATTCTTGATGTCATGGGAGGAACAATACATACAAATTCCTCGATCTATTGAAATAACACAGTACATAAATAGTAGTGAAAAGAAGAATGAACAGGATAAGGACATATACCTTGTGAAACATCCCAAATGGTGAAAGATGAACTCTGAAATGAAGCTGATGCTAAATATGTAAAGTTGGTCAAGGAACATTTCAGAATTCTAATAAATGTCAACAAAAGAGAAGTATCCAAGTATGTCAGTCGCATTTGATTGGATTTCAGGCAATGATTATAGTTCCAAAATATAAGAAGATCTAAAAAGTATAATAATAAGAAAAAAAAATAGTTGGTTTGGATATCTTCCATCAGGACTCCATGATAATGCACTAATAAGTTCAGAATCAGAACTTTGAAGGAAATCCACCAGAATCCATCGACTCATGGTGCCTCTTGAAAGTGTGTTTGAATGCACCCCTGATCTCACAGATGGAACATTCCCGGGATTAGAAGCAACCCAGATACAAATGCCACCACTGTCATCAATCATTACAAAATCACCAAAAAAAAAGGGTATCACAATGCTCAACCGTTAAACAAATAAAGAAATTGCTTCAGTCATAATGACAAGAGACTAGTTTCACAAGACTGACTTGCAAGCCACAGAAAGAGTTTTCCCTCCATTTGGTCTCCATTCGAGAATCTTTACATCTTTTTGTGACTCATGGGATAAGACGCAAGTAGTTTTTCCATCTGGTTAAGTACAAAGAAGGTACAGGGAACGGCTCATACCATAACTAAACAAAGGAAGAATAAGCATAAATCTTAGGAAACACGAATATAGAAATACTCAAAGGGCAATGAGAAAAGAGCATCGAGTAGTGCGAGGGGAATCAATTACCGGAATCATCGTAATCACAGATTGTCACATGATGGGGTCCAGAAATAAATGCTAAAATAGGTTTGTAGTGGTGCCAACTTAAGCTGTGAAGATCGATTCCTTGCAATAGTTTTACCTAAAAGCAAGCACAAAATATTACAAAAGTCATAAGTGATTAAAAACAGCAATGGTGGATCCTATGTCTCTCAAATCTAACCACTCTATATATGCTTTAAAGGAGGTGAGCATAATCAAGTTACAGGGAGTTTAGATAAAAATTACTGTTAGACAGCCAAATTAACAGTTCTCGTTCAAGTCCTAAATACACTTCAAACACATGTGACTAATTATGTCTCAACTAAATATCACAACTGAGAAAATTTTGGGCTGCAATATCACACATCACAATTTACACCCACAGATTCTTCTCCACGAATAATTGTATTATCACTCAAACTAACTATTCAGCTCATTTTCAGTCAATTTCGTGTGCATTGACAGGATAAACCCAATTCACTCGTCTTAGTATGCCAGTGACCTCCCCGCACTACACGGTTAAAAGAAAGAATGCAAGTGTTGGCAGCTATTAACTCTTTCCCAAAGCTAATGAACCTTTAGAACTTAGTCAATACCAAAACACAACATTTAATTCGGGAAGCTACAAGCAACAGAGATAAAACAATAGGACAGTGATTATTACATCAGCAGGCTCCAAAAGAGGCCTGACTGAGCCACTCAACAGGGCTTGCACGGCTGATGATAAAATACCCAAACTGCCCTTGTTTTGCGGAACGGTTTCCAAGTCAGTTGTAGTGGCCGATAAGCTGTCAGGCTCGAATGCAATGGGACTAAACACAGTTCCCTGCAAGCAAATAAAATCAATGGGCGAGGAAAACTCAAACAAAAAAGCCCATCCGAATGAATATATTGGTACAGAATGATGAATTCAGTGGAGTACGAGGATTTTAGCGTATGTATCCCTGGCCTTGTCATCGCTAAAGTGATCTGCGGTAACTGCACCACAGACAGATTAAAAAGGAGATTCGAAAACCCATTTGAGAATCTGAAACCATAAGGCTCAATATGAAATTGAGCTCCTGAAAAATGATGTAAAAAGGGACGACGATTCATACCAAGTTCTCTGTTGATTTCACAAATGGTGACAGTGCCCGGCTGAGGAAACGACGGCATAGCGAGCGAGCGAGCGTGTATGTGTTTGAGAAGAGAGAGAGAGAGAGTGTGTGTAGGGTTTATAGGGTTTTGGTTCTCGCCGGAGTTTGCCCAGCGGCGAACTCTTATGCTCAGTCCAAAGTCTCCAAAACAAGAATATGGTCAAGCGACCCAAAGCCAATAGCTTAGGCAAAAAAAGAGAACTTTTACACCTATTTACATTATGGCCTATCAATAACAACTGAGTCGAGTCAAGTCGAGCTCGAACTCTTGATATTCGAGCATGAGTTTGAGTATTTATTAAGTCAAGTTGTTTAATTGTAATTGAGCTAATAAACAAACTCGACCTCATTAACTGATCAACATTAGCGAGCCGATCTCGATTATTAACTACTCCTCCTCGAGCTTAACGAGTCGGTATAAAATAATAGTTCTTTCTCGAATTAAGCTCATGAGTGGCTCGATTTTTAACAACTATGGATTTGATTGTAATTTATATTCTTGTTAATTAATCTTAAATTATTGATGTACCTCAATATAATATAGGTAACCATCTTTCCCAAAATTGTAAGTACAACACACCATTGCTATGAAATATGAACAGAATTATGATATAGAAATGGTTCAACCCAAGACATTACATACTTGTCGGCACACTTCATGGATTTAAAGATAAGTAGTATGTGAAGTGTCCATTGGGGCATGAAACTTGCAATAGTTATGGAGTGAGTTTGCTACTTGCCTAGAGAATAATGTTAATTAGAAGTTGTGACAATCATCCATTATGTTTATGTAGCGTAACTGGTCTAAATCCTCTTGGAAGATTATCTCTGGACAAAAACACCGAGTCTGAACTCAACGAGAATACAAAAATCATATGGACTATAATTGAGGGTTATAAGTTATAACAATCCCCAGAACAAGTAAACCTAGTCTAAATTAAAACTCCAGAGCACAAATATAACATCCAAATTTGAAGGTTCTTGATAAACTGCAGCACATTTGAACTGTTCCACAACTAAATCCGAGGCAGACAGTTGAAACTCTACATCACAAACCTCACACATCCACAATGGAGTAAAACAACAGCAACATCTTTCTTAATAGGTCCATAACTGCTATTGCAGCACAAAGATATAACATCTCCTTACATAAATAAAACACAAAGCCAAAACAAAACATCAGAATAAGTACGCCACCGTATTAGAATAGAAATATAAGTCTGCAAATAACACAAACCCTAAAGGTGCAAACAAACCAAACTCAATTCACCAAAACACAACAAGAGTTCATTCAGACAAACATATGAAGCTCCGGCCTGCTATAAACGTTTTTCCTTTCTTCGTCCTCCAGCACGGGATAAGAAGCCACGAGAGCATCCTGAGCACCGATATAAAGTGAGTTATATATCTTCCAGTAAACTTCCCTAACCTTCCTTGCCGGGTGAAACAGACCCTGAAGACAATAATTCAGCACAACAGCCGCTCCTAAAGCCACCCTCATACCCTCAATCGCTTCCATAACAGCATTTATAACATGTGGCGACGTCTCGAAAATGTTGGGCCAAATGTAATTCATCAAATGGATCAAAGCATCCTCGCAGCCCAAGCCCGCTACACCAAGGGCCATGTGTTTAACGGCCGAGGCAGCTGTTTGCCTGTGTACCAAGTCCCGGTCCATAAGCGCATCCTCGAGCAAAGGGGTCACGGCATATATATAATCCTTGCCCATCTCACCAATGTACTCGAACAAGAAAGAGAGTGACTTGAGGACACCGTTCTGAACGTTGAGCTCGGGCACACGATACTCGTTCATTAAAGCAGGCAGGACTGTGAAAGGCGAGCACGTCTCGGCTACTATGGCTATGGCCACAGTAGTGCAGACACGGTTTTGCCTTTCCTGGACCTTGAGATTGTTGAGCAGGGTCGCGAGCACGTCTTGCGGGCCGATGGCCTTAGCTATGTAGCCAAAAGTGTTGACAGTGGCCCGCCGAATACCTTTCTTATGGGCCTTGAGCATCTCGAGCAGCTCGAAGCATATCCTCATCCATTCTCTAGCTGGCACAAATTCAGACCCACGATCGGCAATTCTTCCCACAAGGTCGATGCAGTTTTCTTGAACCTTCTCGTGCCGATTTTTCAGTATAGGGGTCAGACGAGGGAGAAGGTCCTTGATCGGTGGGGTCATTTTGGTCATCCCAATAACATTTACTATAGATTTGAGGGCGCCCAGAATAGAACCGAGTACTTCGGGGTATTCTTCACCGAGATATTCATACAGCACAACACCAAGATGGCCCATCAGCTGCTCCTCCCCACACTGCTTCATCACGACAGCAATTCTTGAAATGAGATCTGCCGCCTGCTGCCGGACTTTCGCGCTCTTGTTGTTGAGCCGCCATTTTATGGTACCGCAAATCTGGGGGAGGTAAGGCTTCACCCTATGACCAAGAGAGTTGACCACTGCACCGAACCCATTGAGCATCACGTTGGCATCGTCGCTCGTTTGCTCCTGGAAAGCGTACAGAATACCGTCAATCAAGAGCTCTTCTAAACGCGAATCGATGTCAGATGCTCCTAAATTCGTGACCACTTTCTCGATAGTCTCCATGACCATCCTTCTGTAAGGCTCGCTCTCATCCTTAAGGTCCTCGACTATTCGCCCCACAATATCGGCTACACCGACCTTATTTGCGATCTCAACAGTCGTCTCAACTAGCTGCTTGTAGTTCCTCCTGTCCAGAGCCATCCTTCGAACCCAGAAATTCCGGAAAAACTCGGGGAGGACATCGTTTCTGATATAGTCGGGCTCCACACCCTCGGTGCTAACGCACTGCTTCACGACCTTGATAACGATTTTTTTCATTTCTTCGTCGGGAGATTGGAACTCGCGGATAAGGATGAACATGACCTCCTTTGTGTAGTAGCTTGCGTATACAGCATCCATGAGAGGTATGATGAAGCCAATGGCCTTCAAGAAAGCAGCCAGCACTTTGCCACGGTGGGAACGGATACCTTTCCACAGAGGCTTCAAAACCGAGTCGAAGCTCTCGATACCGTACGGGGCCGCGGCCTCTGCAAGGGCGGCCAGTGACAGGGCTGTGATGGTTCTGACCTTCTGATTCTCATCGTTAAGACCATGCTCGATGATCTCGACCAGAGACCGCAAGTGTGGAAGAACAGCACACCCGATTAGAATCGCAATCTGCTGCACAATCTTGATACCCGTATGTCGAGCTTGCCACGATTTCTTGCTCTGACACACGGCTTTTAAAAACGGGAGCAAGGCAGGAATGCCGAGGGCAGAGGCAACTACACTAAAAGCTCTTGCAGTAGTGTTCCTAACATACTCATCAATGTTATCAATGTCCGGCCGCATGGCAGCAATCATTGTTGCCAACCCAGCTGCTTTGCTGAGATTTGAGATGATTTCTCTCCCCTCCACACGTGCATAATAGTCCTCATCTATCAACAGGGGCTCGATAACCACAAGGATCTTGTGCACGTATGGACGCACAAGCTCATCCAGCTTATAAAGCACCCGATCAATCACTTTCACAAGCAAGTGCCGCTCCTGGTCTTCCAGGGTCGGCTGCATGAGCAGCGGCAAAATCCTGTTGAACAGTGGCCCAGCACCAAATTCCCTCGCCTTATCAGTCAACTGCCTCAAGGCAGTTTTCCTCTGAGGCGGAGTACCGTTCTTAACCTTCAGCAACAGCTTCATGATCTTACGTTCCTTCTGCTCGTCAGGAGACAACTCCTCCTCGTTTTCTTCGTTCAGCAGCGAACCAAAGTACTGATAATCCTCGGGCTTCATGAACGGCAGCCCACCAGGCATCTCCTTGGGCACATCAAACTGCTGCCCACGATTCTCTTCAGGGATGTTATACAGAGGAGTCCCCATTGGCGTAGGCGTGGCGAGAAGCTTACGGGCAGGTGTTCGGATAGGGACATACGATGCAGGAGGATCCAATATCTTATACCCTTCCTGTGGAAACATGGCATCGAGCTCCTCATCAGTAAGCGGCCTGTTTCGATCCTCGATATCCTTCTCCCACCTCATCAGGTTATACTGTTCGGGAGTCATTGCACCATGCATTATGGCACTCGGAGTTGGGGTAGCCATATCAACGGCCCCAAAAGGAGTCACACCAGGAGTGAATGCTGCAGCTGGGGTGGCACCAGGTGTGGCACTGCCCATAGCAGCCGGAGTCTCGTCCCATCTTGATCTCTGTCGCTTGGGGGTCGGGGTAGCCAGCCCTCCGAGCTTCGGTGTGGCATCCCAAGCCATGCCAGCAGGGGTAGCGCCAGGTGTCACGCCGCCGGCAGGGGTCGCATCCGAGTCATTCAAACGCCCGGGAGTTGGAGTCTCGTCCCACCGATTTTTCCTGGAAATCGAGGGTGTAGCATCGCCTAATCTCCCAGGGGTGGGTGTTGCATCCCATCTCCCGATTCCAGGGGTCGAGTCGGGCAAATCCCAGTCAGAACCCGACTTAGTCTTTTTAACACCGGAGCTCTCGTCCTGTGAGACATCCCATCTATTCCTCTTCTTGGGCTTATCAGTCTCCTTCTCCTTGGCCTTCTCCTTTAGCTCCTCCTCTTCTTTCTTCTTCTTCGCGATCTCGCGTTTTATCTCCTCCTCCTTTCGCTTCAGAGCTTCCTCTCGCATGACGTCAGCATAAGTCCTGACCTCAGGACCCGGGGTCTTGTCCAGGAAAGGATCATTTCTATCGGGGGATATAATCCTGTTCAGCCTCCTCCGCCTGTAATCATCCTCACGATCGATGATCTTACTCGGCTGCTTGAACCCAGAGATCTCGTCCTCTTCCCCAGCTCTCAGAGGCTCCTTGAAGAACTGCTTAGGGGCAGTAAATGACGACATCTTCCTCGCGATCTCGTTCTCAGTGACGTCAAAATTATCCTCATCATCATTGACAGGAATGGACTGCTCATAGCCCTCGAATTTATTCGAACTATAAAGATCAGTGTCAAAAGTCAGAGAATCGAGAGCAGCGATTTCTTTCTCCATTTTCTGCCTCTCCTCTTTGACCCTCTGAATCTCGGAGTCCACATCCATCTTGAAAACTTTGAACTACCCAAAATCAACAATACAAACCCTAACCCTACCTTCAAAGCCCAGCGACCAGCTAACGAAATCAATCTAATTGTGGGAAGAAAACACCTGAAAAATCAAGAATTTCAGGCCAGAAAAACGTTAACATATGTTCAAAACAATTTACCACAACAGACAAATCAAAAGAC